TCCATTTATTAATTACTTTTTATCAAAATGAGCCAAACTCTTAATACATGAAAGTCCACATTTCTAATGTTACAAATCTTTAACCTGCCACTGAACCTATACATAATACCTGCCTCTGCATGGTACTACATATACTGCTTACCTGCAATGTTTGAATGAGGAAAAGATGATTTGCCCAAAAATCAGTCTTAAATTTATTTCAAAATAAAAGGTCTGAAAAAGCATGCATTTAACTGGACTCTGGTGATCCTCAGATTTTTCCTCTTGCGGCAGCATCAAGTCAGTGTTTTGATATGTCCAACATTTTGGTTAAATACTAAAATAGCTTCAGCTTTTATTTGTGTTTAGTGGAAATCAATCAATCAATTAGGAGAGACAAATGTTTATTACAAATTACAAGTGTACAGACATAACAGATGTTGTGATGATTAAGATTTGACAGACAGACTTTGGTGCTTAGACTCCATGGGGAAATTCTGTCATCCAGGGGTATCAGAGCCTGGTGAGACGATACCAGTGGCGTGATGACTCTGTATCAGTCTGGACTCGATGCCGGCCCAAATGCTTTCTAAAATTAAAATCCAATCGGTGCAAATCAGGCATCTGTATTGTAATTGACAACATAAGCAGCCATTAAGGGACTGCGTTGTAGTTGACACAGGCTGCAGCTTGCAGAACAATAATGGCAGCTCCCAAAGCAACAAACACTAACGCTAACATGAGCAGAATAAACATAGCAATGAGTGAAGTTATGGCAGAAACAGACTCAGTAACAACAATTAAACGAGAACAAGAGTGTGCACTCATGAAGGTCCTTGGAGGAAAAAAACTTTTTTATCATTCCTCCAACTGGATTTGGCAAAAGCTTGATGTATCAACTGGCTCTGTTGGAGATGAAGAAGATGTTCCCTGGTGTTTTGTGACACTGATTAGCTGAAGGAGTTTGTCTGGAAAGGGGAATACTTACTCCCTGAAAGTGTTTGGAGCTTCACTGAATTCAGACTGGCACAGAGAGTGAAACACAATGTTGATCTCATGTCATCAGGATGGTCTTACCAGGCTAAACTTGTGCAACAGCAAAATAAATTCCCCATAGAGTCCATATACTGGAGGTGGTGGTGGCTAATGACTTATTAGTTACAGTTATTAGTTACTTTTCTCATAAGTAATCAAATTACTTCACCAGTTACTGCATTTGAAAGCAATTAGTTACATGGGAAAGTAACTTTTGCCTTGTTTTTAAATATTTACCTCAGTTCTCATATCAATGCACACTTTTGAGTGTTGCTGTGGAAGTCAGAGAAAAGTCAACTGTAAGATTTTATCTATGCCTGTACCCATTATCACCATGATGAAAAGTGAGTAGTAAAACACAATAGATGTGTTTTAGTAGGTCTGTTCTACAGACGTTTATCCTCTGTAACCTTCACAGTAATTCAAGTCCTGCACATAAACCACAGCTCACCACTATAGGTCTGATTTGTCCTTGATCTCAAGAGGGGAAAAATAAAGTCCATATTTCCAGGACAGCAAGCTCAAATTGCCTGATCTATCTGATCTGATATATTGGCCATTGTGTGCAGTGACAGTCTAATGTTGACTGACTGATTGATTGACAGCATTTACTGTCCTTCTGTAAGGTTGGGCAACTGGGGATGCGCTGGTCGATTGGCTGTTGTGAATCACATTGTTATTAATGACTTATAGAAACATTATGTGCAATACTTCACTTTCCACCTTGTCTTCCCCTGTCTCTGTCACACACACACACACACACACACACACACACACACACACACACACACACACAGTGGACGGTGCACAAAAAAGGAGCAGCATGATGATAGACTAACAATAAAGGTGTGTCGCCGTGCTTTTGGTTAAAGAAGTATTTCACTGCTGGACTTATGAAATTGGTGCTACATGACCAGAGAAAACAAAGAAAAAGGACTATAACATTCTCTTTTGCTCAAGAGGTAGAATAGAGAAGAGGTAGACAGAATGCACAGCACTGCACTTGACCAATAAATACCCCCGCTGGTGGGTGACATAATGGGAACTCATGCAATTGACATAATGGCGGCCAGCTTGTAACAAAGAATCTCGTATTACAGCTAAATGGTGACTTGTTTGTAAAACATTTTAGTTGAGAAATAGGCAGTAACAGAATCTTGGCTGAATAAATCTTAGGTTTATTTTTTTCAGCCTCCGTTTTCACTATGCAGGAAACAGTATGGAGCCCACTTCCTGTTCACAAACGCTCACTCTTACAGTGAAACAGTACAGTAAAATATGTTTCTGAAGACATTTTAGGCAAGAAATAGGCAAAACAGTAACGTAATCTTGGTTTATATTTGATCAGCACAGTTTGATCTGAGTTTGGTCTGAGAGAGAAAGAGAAATAGGGTTGGGTGTGTCTTTTAATCCAGCTTTATGCTCCTTGTGTCTGTGGTGTGGGCCATACGAAAATGCAAAAGTACAGCTTGTAGTTCTAGCAGCAGCCTAAGAGGCAGCAAAACTCCGCCAGATGACGCAGTTCTGCTGGGAGGGGAGCAGGGAGATCGGGGCACAGGTTCGATGGAGGGAAGTTTACCCCAGTTCATTTACAATTACGGCGGACATTGTTACAGTATGTTACAAAGCTGGTTAGAAATTGGCAAAGTATCCCTTTCCTTGTGATCAGCTGATAAGGTGAACTCGGTCTCACTCCAATGAAAAAAGCTCTCCTTTCATGTCGGCACGATGCCTCTTGAGTGTGTCAACACACAAATACAAAGGATTCACATAGTACAATATTCATTTAAAAACCTGTGAAAAAACAAGGTCTGTATCAAAAAGACTTTAAAGTTTCAGGTCCAGACAGCAGCAGGGGGATCAGTGGAGATCTGGAGGTCACACCCTGCAGAAGAAGTGGAAGTTGTGGTTATAGTTTAACAGTGCCTGGCAGCATCAGAGGGAAACGTGGCAGGAGAAGGATGAAAGTGAAGGTGGTGAAAGTCCAATTGGGGCTGGCGGGAGCAGTGGTGGAAGTGTCCAGCAAACGCTGTCCTTCACCCAAGACAGCGGTGTTCACATCCCGTAAGACTCTAAACCCAAACCTGTTCTTTTTCCTAAACCCAACCACGTGTTTGTTGTTGATGGAAAAAAAACATCAATTTGTGGTGTTTTACTGATGTAGTGCTTTTATTTTGAAAGAGACTGTATGTAAACAGTAAATTTCCTTTGAAAACAGAAGTGTATTTTGAAAGAAGACAATGCATGTAACAGGCAGAACTTGACAAAACGGTGTCCCAGAATGTCAACAACCAATGCACCCAGGGTACCTTGCACCTTGCATCGTATGTGGATGTGGAAAGTCCATGACGAAACGTCGATATGTGACGAGATCGGACTGAGAATGTGTTGATAAAACAGCCGATGTCTTAATTGACAGCCTCTGACAGTGACAGCAGGAAATTATGAGTGAGCATGTGTGTGAGGAGTGAATGTCAGATGGTATGAGAAATAAATTACAGGCCTAAATATTCAAACGTATTGTCTTCCTGACTAAACTTTTGACAGAGCTTCATTTTGAACAGCTGCACTCAAAGGCGATTCTGTGATTTGTGAGTTTGTTTGAAGAGTCTCCCCTGGAGGGAATAAATCGCGTTGCATTCGTTTGTTCACGTGAAAAATGACAGAAATAGTTGTGTAACATGTAAAAACCGAGGGCTCCTTTCTAACCTCTGCACAGCTGGCTGGTCACAGTGTGAAGTGGGTGTGAATGTTGGAGTGTCGGTTTCAGAGAGTTCAGAAATGGTCGGACACAGCAAGGCCACCGCCCTGCCAGGTTCAGATGCCAGAAAGGTGGAGGAGGGCAGGGGTTTCTGAAAGCTATTCAACCATGTGACAAGCAGTTGTGATAAAGTATAGTGGCGCCTTAGGTACGGCTTCACAGCTGCAGACTCTTCAGTCTTGTTTACGTGAAACAAACATTTCCTCTCAAAGAAACAGGTCTGTCAGTTTGTTTGCACACATATTGTTTGTGGCCTGTCGTGCATTTCATTTGCCTTTCTCGATGGCGCTGAATGTTTTTTTTCCTCCACACTCACAGATTGATGTTTTGCTCCTACAACCAGCAGTCTCTGGCTGACTTTACATGATAGATGGGCGAAATGTTTAAACTGCCCTTGGCAGGACCCAAACTCTTTCTCAACAATTACTTGGTTGGTTTGTTCTTTCTAATCATAGATATGTCATTCTGTGCCATAACACTGAACAATAGCCTGCTCCAAGCGTTAGCAGCTAAACTCCCCTTTTCTCTCTCCCCCTCTCTCTGTCTGTCTCTTTCACTTTACATCCCTGCTCTCCGTTACTCCCTGCTCTCCCACTCTCTCCCTTATCCTCCCTGCATGGGTTATGTGACTCATACGATACTAAACGCTCTAATGCAAGATTAACTCTCTGCCAAAGAAAGCTCAATATTCATCCCTCTATTTACTATCGTGCACTCATGGCTGTTTAAACATGTCATGTGGGCTCTTGCTGTTATCTCGCACAGCTTTCACTCTAACATCTTAACGTCCTGGCTTTCCTAAAAAATTAAGGCTACATTCTTCCTGGCTGGAATGCCTGGTCTCCATGGTAACGTCAGGTCCATTATAAAGTGCCATAAAGAGCGTGCGAGGGAATGTTAAATCACCAGTCTGCCAGTCTCCATCACCTCACTGGGTTGATTGTGTAACCCACAAACCTCACAGGACGGCTTCCCTTCCCTCTTCGCTCTCCTTTTCTCTTCCACTCTCCCCGTCTCACCTCTTTCTCTTCCTGTCACACATTCTCCTTTTATCTCATTCCATCTCTGTCGTACACACACACACACATGTTCACACACACACACACACACACACACACACACACACACATCAGAAATGGAGTCAAACACTGACCTCCAGTGGATTGTTAAGAAACCTTTGCAGTTTTGCAAAGCTAGAAAGAAATCTCTTTCATGTCTCTTTCAGGTCTTCACTCGCTATGGGAAGTGTTACACCTTTAACGCTGGCGGTGATGGACGCCCTCCCCTCATCACCACCAAGGGTGGTATGGGTAATGGACTCGAGCTCATGCTGGACATTCAGCAGGATGAATACCTGCCTGTGTGGGGAGAAACAGGTGAGGGGAGGGGGACGTCATTTACTTCATTCAGTCTCTGGCAGATCTGGTTATCTGTCACAGTGTGTGTGGGCAGGTGTGTGGGCAGGTGTAAGTACCTCGCAGTGTGAAACTCAGGGACACAACTCTGCAAAGTGTCTGGATTTATTCCTGAAACACATTTTCACAGTTCGCTGCTCTGATCCCACGTTCTTTGACTCCTTGCAGATGAGACTTCATTTGAAGCCGGAGTCAAAGTTCAGATCCACAGTCAGGATGAGCCGTCCTTCATTGACCAACTCGGGTTTGGAGTGGCGCCCGGGTTCCAGACGTTTGTTTCTTGCCAGGAACAGAGGGTACAAACTGTTGCACTTAAATCATCTTTATATATCTTACCTACATGACATTTATCAAATAAGTTTGCCCAACCTGGTGTTTATCTAACACCTGTATGATAGTCTGACTGCTCGTGTTTCTCGCCCTCTTGGACCTCTTTTCAGCAGCATAGACCTTTTCATTGCTACTCTGTTGCTAGGGGAACAGATTTGGCCTCATGTCAGCGACTGCATTAACAAACATTGCAACAGGAAATTCAAAGGGGCCTATTTAAAATGTTTAATGTTTTCAAGCTAGAAACGCTGTATTGCTTTGTGGCTGTCTCTCAGGAATTAACTCAGTGAATAAAATTTTATTATTACTTCGAAGAATAAATATTCAAACCTGTTAGCCGGGAAAAAGAGAAGAGACTGAGGAGGGATCCCTCCGTCAGCTGTTACTGGAGACACCCTAGTTTTTTAGGTTTTCTAGGACATGGCCATATATATTAGAGCTAAGACAGTCAATCCATTATTTATCAGTTGTCAGCTATTAAATTCTTAAAGTTAACATTCTCTGATTGTTATGGCCTCTCTAAGCAGACAAAGGCTCAGCTAGAGACCGAACATATGAATGGACGCCAGATGCAGGCAAACAAAGTTTTATTATTAACAACAATGAAACAATACTTACAACTCAAAGGAGGAAACAAAAGATGGGGAAGTTGCTGGGCCAATCATGTAGCGAGCTGTCGGACCCAGCTCATCCCCCTAACTACCTAAACTGAACTAAACTTATCCAAATAAAATCAGAAACTGAACTAGTGGTAATCTCCAACCCAAACTAAAATAACAAAGCCAAGAAATCTAATCCATGCTGGGAACTAAATGGGAAGAAAACCACCCCCCCCCACTACTCCAGCGCTGCTGCTACTGCAGGCATGTGTTGCTGTGTGTCTCAGTGTGTCTCCTCGCAGTCCGCCCCTCAGCTTCCTTTTGTCCTGTCCCCCTAATTGCTCACAGGTGCTGCACTCCTAGAAAGAGAGACAGGTAGACCAACCACACCCACTAGAGAGCGCAATATGACACCGTACAATGCTCTGGTTTCCTTTCTCCTCTATGACAATACACTGCATAACTTTGGGTTGTGGACAAAGCAGGATTTTGGGAAACACTGATCAACATGTTTCATCATTTTATGACGTTCATAGACCAAACAAGAAATCACTTACTCAAATAATGGATTACTTAATTGATAGATTGATCTATAATGAAAATAATTGTTAGTTACAGCCTTAAAAGATATTAGAAAATCACTTGTCTATTCAAACAGAAATAAATTCAAATTAAATTTAATGTAGCTGTTTTATTCTTGTCTCTTATTTGCATGATTTCTTCTGAAACTGTCAGCATCCTGTTTTTGATTCATGAATATTTGTTCTTCATTTGCTTTCATTTGCTTTTTTAACTCCTTTTTTTCAGTTTTCACAACAACTGTATACATTGCATTTATTTTTGTATCGGTAACACTCTTTCTAAGTGTGTAAACTGCTTGTGTATAGTAAGTGATGCTTGTTTGTTGCAGCTGATATATCTCCCTCCACCCTGGGGAGACTGTAAGGTGACAGCGATGGATTCAGACTTCTTTGACAGTTACAGCATCACAGCCTGTCGCATCGACTGTGAAACACGCTACCTGGTGGACAACTGCAACTGTCGCATGGTGCACATGCCTGGTAGGAAAAGACTTATTTAACTGTGTGTTATATCATTGACGTTGTAAGTGAAAAACTACTGTAGAAAATGTCACTGACTGGATGTGTGTTGCTTTGGTTGCAGGCGACGCTCCCTACTGCACCCCCGAGCTGTACAAAGAATGTGCTGACCCAGCACTCGGTAAGAAAAACGCTTGGTCCACGTCTGGTCTGAATCTTTAAGGAACACATGCGGAACACACACACACACACACATCATCCCATGCCATCTTAAAGTCACAGCCGCATTGATCTCAAAAGGTCAAGCTGAGCTCTGGTTTCCTTCTCTGCAGATTTCCTGGTGGAGAGAGACAATGATTTCTGCGTGTGTGAGACGCCCTGCAACATGACCAGATACAGCAAAGAGCTGTCCTTCGTCAAGATCCCCAGCAAGGCCTCCGCCAAATATCTGGCAAAGAAATACAACAAATCTGAGCAGTATATTAAGTAAGAATCAGCCATTATGGTTAAATGAAAACACTGAACTGAAGTATTATTTTTTATGATGAAATGAAAGTTTTCTGTTGCTGACATTGCATTATTTTTTTAATCTTAAGACATTTATACAATATATGTTTTGGCTTTAAAGGGGAAAAAAACAAGATATAAAAGCAAAAATGTCACATACATTATTCTATATTTAATTCATAAATACAGACAATACATTTATGAATCAAAGCAAATATATGATGGGCTAATACTTGACTTTAAGACCATCTCTTTAGCATACATAAGCAGTATAGAAACATTTAATAAGTGCTTTCATGACTTAAAGTAAAGTTGTTACCTACAGTGGAATATTAATGTCCGACTTTTTCTCCACAGGGAGAACATTCTGGTTCTAGATATCTTTTTTGAGGCTCTCAACTATGAAACTATTGAACAGAAGAAGGCTTATGAAGTGGCTGGACTTCTAGGTACATTAGTTCCATTATACACTGTGAACAAGTTATCTTTCTGTCTTTATGTTAGATGAAGTTTTTAATCCGCTTGTGTCTTATTGCTCCAGGTGATATCGGTGGTCAGATGGGACTTTTTATCGGGGCGAGCATACTCACCATTCTGGAGATATTTGACTACCTTTACGAGGTGAGACTCAGACAGAAGAATCCCGCTGCATGTAGAGCTGTAGCTACTGGACCACTGAGGAAGCAGAGATCTTGTAGTGGGTGGGAACGTGGGTGTTTTAGCAACCTTAGAGAAGCTGTAAAATGTACACATGGTTGTATCTTAAAAACAGATACCACTAGTTTTAGATTCAGTGGCCCTCATTTACAAAACAAAGCTGTAGTCGCAGAATTGTTATTAGATCGTATTCTGACTGGTATGTAAGTATTTGCAGCCACATATTAATCACTTAAAAATGTATAGCCTATGAGAACATATGTTTTAAAGGCCCACCTCGATGCATGCTCTTAAGACAGCTCAGAGTTGCGTGGCTCTGTGGGACGGGCTCTAAGCTGAGCAAAGGCTAAACACCACTGGTGCACAGTTGTACTTGATCTGAACTTTTTTTAACACTGACAGACCAAAGCATGTTAATATCATTTATCATTAAAACACAATTAAGGAGAAATAAATAAACCCTAAATACTAGTAGCCTAGGTGATTACATTTTTACCGGTGTCCAGCTCGGGCACAGGTGGTGTGTTTGTGCCTCCTTCATCCACCTGTTATGCCCCTAATGGAAGCGGACAACATACACTCGGCCACAGAAAAAAAAATTAAGGGAACACTTAATCCTCATAATCTGTCCATTTAGGAAGCACAAGTGATTGTGAATCAGTTTCACCTGCTTTGGTGCAAATGAAAGTGACAACAGGTGCAATGGAGAGGCAAAAGCAAGACAACCTCCAAAAAGGGAATGGTTTTACATGTGGTGACCACAGACAGCTGCTCTCTCCTTTTCCTTCCTGACTGATTCTTCTGTAGTTTAATGTTCTGCTAATGTCATACTGTGTTTTTCCGATGTCTTTTGATGCCAGTTTTCAGGCTGCCAAATAGAACTGGTGGGTTAAATTGGACCTAGGGTGAACGTTTACATTTCTACCTCAGATAAGTTTCTCGTCTTGTCTGTTTTATGCCTCTTCACGTAGTAAACTCTAGGGACAAGGCCTCTACACCAAGAATATATTAGGGCAGGATATTTAAATGCCTGAGCATTCCTACATTGTGATGGTCGAGATAGAATGTTTTATGAATCACACGTGAGGGGGCCATGTTTAAATTTGACTTGACACGGAGGAGACAGTTCCACCACTGTTTTATTCCATTTGAAACAGCATTTAAAGGAGTTATGAGAATAAAATGTTTTATTGTGTTGTAGATACTTGACCTCAGTATCAGTGGCCACGCTGTCTCTTTTTTCCTTTGAACTTTATTGAGCCACAAATGTCAGGTTGTCGTGATGACCTGCTCTGTTTGTAACCCTCTCAGGTGATAAAGTACAAGTTGTGTCGCTGCTCCGATAAGAAGCACAAGCACAACAACAACAATGACCAGGGGACGGTCCTGAGCTTAGACGACGTCAAGTGTCACGTCAGTAACTTTCATTAGGCTTCTGCTGCGGCGAGGAGGGAGCCGCCGCACTCTCTTGTCTCTGAGCGGTTTTAATGGACTTTGTTCGTTGCAGTTTTCCAGACTGCGGGAGCAAACAGATGGAAGTGTCTTAACTGTGCCTGGTTACGGTTTGTGAGGTGAATACAGCTTGTGGCTGACATGAGGAGGAGCCACATGGACAGCAGGACAGCAGAAACCAGAGATCAAATATGTTGAATTCAAAAATGTCAGAATAACTGCATGGTCATCAGCTTCTCCAGACATAGTAACAGATACAGTAAATGAGGGCATGAACTGAGCTGAGGCTCATCTGTGTTCAGTAAATCAGCATTAGATACCCAGCTGTGTGGTGGTGTTTGTCATCTGTCAATCTGGGGGAGTTCTTTGTAAAATACTTTCTGTGACAGGTTTGTTTCCCCGCACAAAATGTTGTTATTTTAGATGTGTTTTCTGTATTTGCATGTGAGTGCTGCACATTCTTTAATTTCTGCCCTTTGAGGTTTGCTTTCATCACCTTTTTTGTTCTTAACTTTTCCACCAGTTTTCCATTTTTACATTTGTGTAATCCGACCTTGTGCTATGACTGATGGCTCCCCTTGTTAAAACCTGAGCATTTTGCCGATATACTGTACTACCTCATCTCGCAGGGTGACAGCGCCCTTAAAAATTTACAAGCCAAGCAAATTAATAATAAAAAAGGTCATTTCCATGTATAGAAATGAGAAGAACAGGCTGAAAAAAGAACCCCCCACGTAACACTTACTGAGCAGCCGTCTCAGGTCTTTTTAGCAGAAGACATTTTGACATGTCGCAGTAGGAAAATCAAATGTGGGAATAATAAAATTAATGATGGCTGAATTCTGTTTAGCTACTTCAGTTGCAGGGTCTCATTATTATGTAGCCTTGCTCGCTGTCACACTGTCATGGCTTAGTGGGACACTTGAATAGAACAGAGCCATTTTTAATAGTATTAATTATAGCACCTGTGTTTTTCCTGCTATGACAAGTCAAAATGTTCGCTGTGAAAAAGGCCACGGTTAAAGGACTATTCCAGGATAATAAATGCTGGTATGAAGTAGGGATGGACGTTTTTAGGAACTTCCATGTGCCACTGCTTGCATTGAATTATTAAAAAGTACTAAAAAAAATCTAATGTAAGAATAGGAACGGAAAACAAGTGCAATTTGAGATGAATTTATTAAACAGACAGGTTTCAATTAGCCTATTAAACCATTGTTGCTGCCGTTGACGTAACATAGGTTAGATGCAGCGCTGACATACTGTCGCTGAGCTGCTCTCCTCTCGGTCACTTCAACATCTGCCCAGTTAGCACGAGCTAATACAGCAGCAGCAGCTCACACCATCACCAAAACAGATTGCCTCTGTCCGATTAATAACCCTTAGATAACGTTAGGCTAGCTGTATTATGCTAACAGTTAGCCCTGTCTGTATGTGTGAGTGTGGGTGATCTTTAACCAACTGTTCCCCAGTATGAAGCTCACAGTCTTGCAGCAGTTGTCTCCCAGTGTCTTATGATAACCAGAGAGAGAGCGACAGCAGGGTAGGAGGTGTTAAGCGAAGCAATATGTTGCATGCAGCTCTACAATGAAATATGAATTTACCTAGTAAAAAAAAAATATAAAAGTCATATTCACATCTGGGAGGTTGGGCGGTGATTACTCAATACATTTAACAAATGCTGACGTTCAAACGAGTGTTCGAGTACTCATGTCCATCCCTAGTATGTAGTATAGTGCAGCAGTATCTAACTCAAGTTTGCCATCATAAGCTACTGATCATATCAGACCAAGTAAACTGATTAACCCTCAGTGTACTGATCTGAGATCTGTGACTACAACAGCAGTCCACAAACCAATGGGTGATGTCATGGTAGCTACGTCTGTTATTTTATACAGTCTGTATATTATACTCATACATGAGAGCAATATCAATCTGCTCATCCTGCTCTAAAGAGCAGACGTACATATTTCTCAAAACGTGACTTTTGCCATAAAAGGGCAACTTTGGTATTTTTCAACCTGGACACCATTTTCCATGTTTGTCCAACTAATTTTTAAAACCAGTCCAGTTGAGCAAGAGGGCTGCTGCACAACAGGCTGCAGTGTAACCACTCCACGCATGTTTACACAGTCAGTGTGTATCCTGTAATGCCTGCGCCACACTGCTCGCGTGAGCAGCAGGTGACAGCTGCCTCACTGAATTGCTGCGGCACCTGCAGTGTTTATACAGATGATATAGCTGCTGCAGCATGGCTACAGAGCTGTGTGTTTCTATAACAACTGTATTTCCACAATTAAAAGCAGACACTCCACTCATTCATGGAGCCGTGCAAACCACTGCATCGTCAACAAATGCACAATAAAAAGCCTTGTGTTAACAGATGAAGGGGCTCTGTTGACAGAAACGTTGTCACCAGGAAGTGTTGAGATAAGAATAATTTTTCATGTCTGTAGTTAAAGGTGGTATGATGTCAATATGTAGTCTGTAGTTAAAGGTGGTATGATGTCAATATGATTATCAAACGACCATTTTCAACTGCCCAATTTTGCTGAATATTGCACACGCCACAGAAAAAATAGGCAAGACTCTCTAGATGTTCACACCTGAGCAGCGCTACTCATATGGGCAGTGTGGCTGCTCTAACCTGTTAACATGGACACTGCAAAAAAACAAGAGGTTCCATGACGTACACACACTGCTCACACAGGCGGTGTGGCCCAGGCCTGAAAGTGCTTATTTTTCCACTGACATAATGTTGTTCAGTGCAGCCTGTGGCATACTGTAGGCAGTATAAGCGAATGCGAAGAATGTGGTCATCCATGGGGGGCTCCACACATGAGGAAAGAAACAAAAAAAAGTTTATCTTTTACTATTCTTTACTAATACTATTACTATTTTTATTTTTGAAATATGACATAAGGCACAACAACATAACTAAATAGCAAAGCCTACTGAATAATAGAGAGGCCTTTTTTCTGGGTTCCTGCCGCTCCCCTCCCGAGCTCGTTACACTTATCATGTATCATATATAGTAAAAAGGCTCTGTGCTTATTTTTTAAAAAACTTTTTTCATGTGAGAGAAGGTTATGTAAAGGTTGTCTCATAAATGTGTATTATTGAATTTGTGCTCATTTAAAGGTAGTGTAAGGAAGGACTGAATGACTTCAAAACTCATTTCTTTTTTTTTTCTTTTTTTAAGCGTAGATTTTTGTGTTTCCTTGGCACAAAAGAAGAAATAACAATTGGCAAAATTGTTATTTTAAACATTGGTATCAGTATCGACCAAGAATTTCATAATCGGAGATCCCTAGTTCAATTACAAAGTTAATTTCAACATTTTATTATCATTTTACAATGTCATATATTATTTTATTGTTTATTCCTCTGAACAAGTTAATTTAGAATTATTTTATGATTTATATGATTACTCCAACACATGTGCAACATGTTACTGAAAGCAAATTAGCACATATTTTATTTTGTTTTTTACTGTTAGCTAGGTTGTTAATTTGCATTTTAGTAATAAACCTGCAGTACTTTGAACGTTGAGCTGCAGCAAACAACATGTTTTTTGGGGGGGGCGGGGGAAAGCTCGCCTCGGGCACCATATGAACAAGGACTGCCACTGTTGTTGTTAAACAGTCTTAGCCTGTTGGCAGCAAAACAGACCGTTTTTGCAGCTGTAAATTTACAGTACACAGTTGCCTCAAGTGATTACTTTACAGCCTGTTTCACAGCTGCCGCTACATAAAAACTGTTGTTTCCATTCGTCTCTTAGACACAAAAACATGGGAAAATTGGGTCCAAGCTGAAAAATACTGACATTACCCTTCATGTCAGATGATCTAAAACAAGTATCTTAACATATAAAGCAGATGCATGGATACACAGCAACAACATTTAACGTACACAAACCATATTATGAACAAGTATTTAAAAAGCTCTTCTCCATGTGGTGCTACTTAGTGAATGATTTGCCTTCAAATTCCCTTTTAATGACAATCACTGCAAACTGTAGAGACATTAAAAATATAAACGTGTTTCCTGACAGGAATTCAAAACAATTATTTTAAGGAGTGTCATACATGCAGATGCTGTTCATCACATTCAATAGAATTTATCTTGAGGTGTGTGTTCACATGGCAAGAAGACATTAATGAGTATAAATATGTTGAATGTGTTTCGCCATATTCTGGGGGCTCTCAGTTGCATGTAGCACTGTACAGTAGGCGTCTTAAACGTGGTCCGTCGATGAACAATCTGCAGTTTGTGTCATCATCTGTTCGTGTGTGTGGTTGTGTTACTTTTTTTTTTTTGTGTGTGTGTGTGTGTGTGTGTGTGTGTGTGTGGTGACAACATTTCACCAAATTCAGAAGCTGAATAAGGTAAATCTGAAACGCTGCCCTCGTTCCCAAAACACTGTATCTGTTATGAGTCAGTCTATAAACATGTCGGCTGTGGCGGTGCATGTTTAATACTGTATCTGTTCTGACTCTGTTTACAAAAATCAAACATTTTTCTGTTGGCGTTAATCTACTTGCACTCACTCCCATTGAGATCAATGTTATTCTTAACAGGAAATGGGAACTGTACAGCTGTGTAGTGTTATTATCAAGCACAATCATGCCATCAACTGTAATGTAATGTAAATACTGGATAATAATCTCAGTGTATTAGCGTAGTCTGATCTGTGTGACGTTGTTCTCGTTGTATTTATTTAATATAGGCTAGCTGTGTGTCTATTTTTCTGTACATATTATTTATCTAAAGTATATTTATCAAAAGGTAAAGTATGAGGCTCTATCTTTGTTTTTGTTTTTGCTACAGTCACAGCTGCTTTTATTGTAAATGATGATCAGTTGAACAGCTGTACCGTTGTTTTCCAGCGTCCACTGCATGACGTCATGCATCTCAAAACAAGTCGTCCGGCTGCCATGCTTTCAGGTTTTCTTTTATTTTTGCCTCCATTTTTTAATTTTCCATTTTGATTTTGAGATATGAAAGAATGATTATTTTAGTCTGGTGATGTATAAATAAATAATGAACTTGAAGCAGTTGTTATATCAAAGATTAAATGCTAACTTTACATTACTTTTATTCACTGTAAGGTGTTTGTCTCATTATTTACACCAGAAATGAAAACTGGATATAACTTTATTTTAAATTACAGTAATTTCTTGTACAGTTTTGCACTTGTTTACCATTTTCAGCTTGCGTCACGGCTCTGGGGATGTCAGCCAAGACACCACTTTGTTCATACTGAAATATTGAAACAACACTTTGATCAATTTCCATAAAATTTTCTACAGACATTTATGGTTCCCAGATGATATACCAAAATTACCTTGGTGATCCTCTGACTTTTCCTCTAGCACCCCCATGAGGTTCAGGTCTGTGGGTTTGAGTTAAATTTCTCAAAAACTATTGGGTGGAGTGCCAGTCATGTCCTCCTCAGGATGAATTGTAAAAAACTTTGGTGTTCCCCCGTACTTTTTTTAGCACCATCAAGTCAAAATTTGTCCTGTACAAATAACTTCCCATCTAACAACACTCATTCAGCGTCACTGCACTTTGTGTTTTTTGCTAATTAGCAAATGTTAGCATGCTAACACTAAACTAACATGCTAAACAAGGCAAACATTTTACCTGGGCCCTATTTCAGAAAGCAAGATTAGTGAAATCTCTGAGTATGTTCAGCCTGAGATGAGGGAAACTCTGAGTTTTCCATTTCACAAAGCCAGTTCACTCTGTGAAGCAAACCTGCTGGCTGGCAGGTTTGCTTCATCTAAGCCTGAGGCTAACTGCCTGCTGAGCATGTAGCAGGAAGGAGAAACATGGTGTTTCCTTTTGTGAATAACGTCGTGGACGTTGAGGCACAATTTATTCAGAGGCTGTTGAGTAAGGAGATGGTGATTAGACCCTGTTTGCAGAGATGGGACCAAGTCACACGTAAAGTAAGTCTCAAGTCTTAACCTTCAAGTCTCAAGTAAGTCCCAAGTCATTTTTTCTTGGGTAAGTCAGGTCAAGTCAAGTCACAGGTTATGTCAAGTCCAGTCCTGCAATAGGTTCAGTCAAGTCCAAGTCAAGTCACCTTATTATTGTAATTTTACCTGCAGAATCTGATCTTAATAAAGTGAAAAGACAAGATATAAGTAACTGTCAGTAAACACTGACTTCATCGCTGCAATGTTTACTTTGCACACACACATACACACACTAACCAAGGCAGCAGCCAAAATCACCCATTTAGCTCATTTAACCCTGTGTTGCTCGTTCATAAAACGTACAGCCGGTCTTGTGATGAACCGGTCGGAATATTTGCTCACGTTTTCTGGGGTTAATGTTAGCAAATAAATTAAAAAACAAGTTTGTCAAGTCAAGTCACAAGTCATCAAAACAGCGACTCGAGTCGACTCGAGTCCAAGTCACAATGACTTGAGCCCCCATCTCTGCCTGTTTGGACGTCTTATCGTTCCCAGAGGAGTGTCTATATGAAAGATACCGCATCACCAACTGAGCAAATTTTATGCATTGCCCTTCGATTCTTCGCCAACGGCAGTTTTCTTTATAACATCAGAGACACTGAACACATCAGCAAGACAGCAGTTTTAATAAAGTGACTCAGGCTCCAAAAAGACTTTTGCTGTTTTCGTGATTTTCCCTGGGCATAAATCAAAACGGATTATCACAGAGGAATTCCACAGAACTGCAGGGTTGTCAGTGTTACTAAGAAATTAATCTACTTGGATACTTTACACAATGATTTATGAATACATATCATATCTTTAAAGATTCTGCGGTGTAATTGGCTTATTTATGAGACTCTCCCCATCATTGCCCCATCTGAGAATAAAGGAGATTGCATGGATAGGAAGTCATTTCAATTAACATAAGCCTAATATTGCAAGAATAAAGTAAGTATAAGCAAAATTTCTTACCAGTCTGTACAATACATTTGTGTTTGATTTTGAGTTTCTGCCCAGTGTGTTTGGGCCCCATCAGATTACAGCTAAATAAGAGGATATAGCAAATTATATTTAAATATATGAACACTGTTAAGATATAAAAATGTCTCTTTATTTTCTGTACATTAGACACGTATTAACACATCACTTCACATTATTTACTAACACCCTCTGCAGTCTTTTGCCAACACACCTCACACTGTTTAGCTGCAGCTGCTGTATTTTTTTTTTCAAACATGTTCGAAGTCCACATTTGCGGTCATTAAAATCTCCTATTCAGTTGGGGTGAAATAAGGCTCAGGCTGAACATAATCAGAGTTGATTCTGATCAGCTTTTCTGGAACTGAAAACTGAGAGTTTCATAGCTCAGGCTCAGTCAACTCGAAGATCAGGATTAGGCTCAGAGTTTGTTGAGCCTGTTTTCTGAAATGGGGCCTTGCTCAACATCAGCATGTCGACGTTAGTATTTAGCTTCAAAACACTGCAGCGAGATGGCACAGTGACTGCGGCCTTATCAGAGTGCATTACTTCATTAATGTGTTGAGAGTCACTGTTAATCATCAACAAGGCAAGTGAAGTTTGGACCACAAATCACATAATAAATCTTGTAGCTCACTGAAACATTTGACTTCATGAATATATAATCATGAAAACTGTCCGTAAACCCACTTTTTAATAAAGTCAGCTGGATTTTGTTCAGAGGAACCAGCCTGCTGAGTCTGAAATGTTTGTTCCTTCCCACTCCTCTGCTCGGTCCAACTCTTGTGCAACAAGTTCCTCTTTTGTTTGAGCCCTCCAGACCAAATAAGTTCTCCCACAGTAAACTTTGTGTGGTCGCTCTTGTGACTCTTAATGTGCCGACTACATTTTGCACAGTGGGAATTCAGCACAAGTGACATCCTGTGAGTGTGGTGTGGGTGAAGCAACGAGAAGACATGTAATGGAAAGGTTTATAGGACACCAGTCAGGCAAATCAACAGGGCTTCTTTAGGTTAAAGTAGCAATATGTTAAAATATTCTATTACATTAAAAGCATTCAAAGATTTACTGAGATAATTTACTGAAATAAAATTAGCAATACTATGATGTAAAAATACTCAAATATAAGTAAAAGTACTGCAAGTATATATAGTAATTTGAAAGGATCCAATGTTGCGGCTTGTTTTTTCTGTTCAAAGACTAATGAAATAGTGGCAGTACCACAGTGTAGAAATCCTTTGTTACAAGTAAAAAGTCTTGCAAGTAAAGTTTTACTCAAGTAAAAATACAGAAGCAGTAGCACCAAAAACATACTTTTCCTTTTTCTTAGAAAGACAAATATACAGCTTTAATTTGAAGGATTGAATTGACTGTAAGGATATCGAGGTGTTTAAATCCCTTTGAAAATGGCCATATCATTTGTTCCCTCACCAAAATTTAGTCAAACTTTTAGCATTCCTTAGGCCACTGATACTCAACTTGCGGCTGGCGAGCAAAATCTGGCCCGCACTAGAGTGCCAAGTGGACCGCCTACCATTCTCTAATTCACAATGAAAATAACTTGATTCACACTGGGAATTTCCTTTGTATTTTGAATGTAAATAAGGTGCCAGGGTGCATAAAAAATATTAAAACAGAGCTTGTTGATTTTAAAAAAATGAGGGCCAGGGGAGGATCTCCAAGATCTCCTGACAGAGGTTTGGGCTAGGCCATGAATGCACCAAAATCCTAGAAACACCCCTGTGTACAGCTGTCCTTTGTGGGGCTGCTGCGACTGGATGAATGAGGACAGTGTTATTATGTACACTGGTAAATATTATAAGAAGAGGACAGGTCTTGAAGGACTGTAGCTACGAGGCAACAGAGGCCGTGGACAAGATGGGAGAAGGCCACTGAGAGGAGGATGACCTGGGCGGTGCTATTGAAAGAAGAGCCCAAGAGGATCAAGTTCCTCATACAGGCTGTGTTTGTTGAGCTTCCCAGCCCATCAAACATGCAAACAGGAGTCACCAGCATGTCCACTGTGCTCCAAGCCTGGGACACATTCTGAGCACCTGCTCGAAGACACTGGGGGAGGGATGGTACACATGGAGGCACGACCAGGTCCTGAGGCCATCTCTGGAGCCTCCAGCAATGGAGTGTCACAGAAGTGTCACAGCAATGTTGCAACTAAAGGTTTGTTTATTAGCTGGCCCCTGGCCTCCTGTTATTTTGCAAAAGTGGCCCCCAGGCAAAGCAGGTTGAGTATCCCTGACCTAGGGCCCGTTTCTGACAAGATATTTTGGCATTGCTGGTACCAATGGATGCCTTAGGTTATCTAGTTTCTAGGGCTGCCCCCTGATAGTGGACCAAACGCTAGTAATAAATCAAAACCTATATGACTGGACCATGTGGGAATTTAAATGATGACTATCGATTGACTAGGAAAATTGTTCGTTGGGGGCAGCCATACTAGTTTCACACGATACCACTACCACTGTGCTAGATAAAAAGGGTTAGGGTTAGGGTTAGGGTTAGGGTTAGTGCTCGACAGCCTCTTAGGGTGCTTTCACACCTGCCCTGTTTGGTTCAGTCCAATCAAACTCAAGCTTGTCTGCCCCCTAAGTGCGGTTCGTTTGGGCAGGCGTGAAAACAGCAATCGCTCTCGGGTACACATCAAAACAACCGGACCGAGACCTTCTTGAAGAGGTGGTCTGTATGGTCTGTATGGTTTGACTAAAATGAACAATGACAGCAATATAGTCCACGATGACCAGCGCTAAAATCAACCTGCGTAGTTGTCCCTCCATTGTGACATTAGAAAGTGTCACATTTATCTTGCAAGTGTACTCTTCTTCAACATTTGTTTACTTCCTGGATTTTTCCCACATGGAAATTCTGATCAATCAAGAGCAGCTTTCTCACAGGCATTTTATCTGGTCCGCTTGTAAATGCTGCCTTGAGAACATGAACCAACTCTAGGCAATTATACAGCTTTGTAACAAAATCAGTCCCTGATATGGACCAAAGCAAGACAACTCTAGGGTCCTGCTTATACGACAACGATTTCAACTGAAACCGGTAAACTTTAGTTGCGTTTTGGCCAATTGTTTACACGACAGCTGCATTTTGGGTGCCTGAAAACGCAATGGCACCGTCTACGTTGTCATATAAACTTGCAATATGCAGTTCCTCTGAAAAAGGAGACTTTTCGCACATGCGCATTACGCTTCCAGTCACTAGGCATGCGCGAGAAAGTCGACCATCACGACAACAATGGCAGACTCCCGAGCTCTGCTTGTGCTGCTCACCCTATTGAATTTATCAAAGCTTCCCCAGCAACGTGTAGATTTACTGTAGCAACTCCACCTCGTCGTCCATCCAGACAAACGTTTGTGCGGTTGCCATTTTGTTTGTTTATACATCACTGCACTGTAGAAGGAAGCGTAAGCGTCACACCACCAACTACTGGCCTGGCATGTATACTGCAGCGTTTTTGCTGATCCGTGTGCTCAGCGATTGTTATCAAAACGCTGTCGTCTGAACTTTTTTCAAAACAAAAATGAGAAACAATTCTGTTTTCAGTGGATCGTTTCCATGTAAACATGGCCTAGGTCTGAAAGCACCCAATACTGACCTCCAGTTATTTTAGCTGGCAGGGTGGGGGAAACAATTATATCAGGGGGACCATGGCCCCTCCTTGGGAGCCCCACTGGCTAAAAGCACAATCTTGGCTCACAAAATGTGACAGAGTAGAAGTATAAGGAGGCAGAAAATGGAAATATTTAAGTACAAGTACCTCAGACGTGTACTTAAGTACAGTACATTTCCACCACTCTGTATTTAAATGTCTGACCTGTAAGTTCAACTTTAACAACATGAGCTGTCCAGGTTGTTATCCTGTGATCACACCATGAACCCGAGCTGTTTACACCATGAAACATGAAGCAATATTAAGTGTGCTGAGTTCACACTGAGACTTTTGTCCGCTTTACTTTGAGCCCACTGACCTCCTGTCAGCTGGATGAATGAATGACCAGACTTGGCTCATGTTTGAAAGGGCGGGTCAGTGTCTCCCCCCGAACAGGCCAATAAAACAGGAGCGCTGCTTGCAGCCTGGATTGTGTGTTGCATAACCACACTGCAGATCCACAGCGGCGGCGGCCAGTGTCGGTTCAACCCCTCATTCATCGGTTTACTTCTTCACAATGGCAGCTCCGAAGAAAGTCTGCATCATCGGCTCCGGAAACTGGCAAGTCGATGTGTTAATGTTTTGAAGTGTGAACTGTTTAACATGGCTAACTTTGCTGTGCGCTGTCATTTATCTGTGTGTGACACATCGCGTGTTAACCCGGTGAACCGTTGCTAGCCAATTTAGCATCACTGGGTAACCAGCAAGCTAACGTTAACTATCAGGTAGCAACATTTCCATGGTGACATTACTGAAGTTTGACTTGTACCACTGTCTACTATGTGACATTTAGTTAGCTGTGAGATAAGCCAGTGTTAACCTTGATTAGTGAGCTATGAAACCAGCTGAGTGGACAGAAAAATGGCCACATGCCAGTCACGATTAACGTTACTGGGGTTTTGCCCTAAGGTTAGCCACGTTAGCGTTATTGTGTCAACAAAGGAAGTACTCCCCTTTGCACCTTTACAAAAGAAATATGCTAAAATTATTTTGCAGCCTGCGTCTGGGCATGGCTCTCCATATTTGCCAATAGAAGCTCTCAATGGATGGTTCTGTCAGGGTGGCGCCAAACCCCATTTTGTAATCTTACAATTTAAAGTTACCATGTCGACTTCAAAATCCAAGAGGGTAAAACATGATTTAAAGTCATAAATTAATCATTTAAGTGCTCTAGTAAATTCGGCATATAGCTTTAATTGATCAACCAAACTTAATTTACTTTATTAGTTAAAACATCTGTTTTTATACTGGACTCTGCTTGTACAGTAATGTAGCCATTCTGTGAAGTAATTAAAAATACAGTTTGGGTTTTATCTGATGTTTTTATGCCGAATTCATGTGTGAGCCCCATATCATAAGAAAAATGACTGAAAATCATGATTAACCCTTTAAATATGCTGTTAAGTAAAGGAACATAAAATCACCAGGTTTGTCAGTGGAATTCAACATTATGTGTCAGCTGCAAAAACTGATGGCTTCCTCTGGGTGAAACCAAACTCCATCCAACAGCCAACTGTTGACTGTAGTTTTAGTTTACCTCGTCATGAATGAATCCTTTAAGTCCTCTAGTAAATTCGGCATATAGCTTTAGTTTATCAACCAAACTGTATTTACTTTATTAGTTAAAAACATCTGTTTTTATACACTGTTTGTACAGGAATGTAGCTATTGTTTTAAAGAAATCAAGAAGATTGCTGGTGCATTATGTGTTTTATGCCGAATTCATGTGTTGGCCCCAATTTATACTAAGAGTGACCTAAAATTATGTTTAACTCTGTGTAACATTGCTGTTAAGTAAATAAACATAAAATCAGCAGGTTTGTCAATGGAGTTCAGCATTCTGTATCAGCTAGAGAAATGCATGTAAAAGCCAACTGTTGAATGTAGTTTTAAGTTGCCTTGTTTACTTCAAAATCCAAGAGTGATAAAAACATAATTTCAAGTCATGAATAAATCATTTATATCCCCAAGTAAATTCAGCATATAGCTTTAGTTTAATCAACCAAGTTTCATTTACTTTATTAGTTAAAACACCTGTTTCTATACACTGTGTTAGTACAGGGATTTTGCTGTTGTTTTAAAGAAATCCAGAAGATCGTTAGTACAGTATGTGTTGTTTTTATGCCGAATTCATGTGTTGGCCCCATTTTATATTAAGAGTGACCTAAAATTATGTTTAACTCTGTAACATTGCTGTTCAGTAAATTAACATAAAGCAGGTTTGTCAATGGAGTTTGGCATACTGTATCAGCTAGATGCATATATGTAAGCACCTACAGTAGAAATATTTTAATGTTATTTTACCTATCCACAGTGGGTATGGCTTTACATTCTTGCCAGCAGAAGCCTTTAATGAGCCTTTGGGTTCAGTCCAACAGCCAACTGTTGAATGTAGTTTTAAGTTACCTTGTGTACTTCAAAATCCCAGAATTATAAACATAATTTAGAGCCAAAAATGAATCCTTAAAGTCCTCTTGTAATTCTGTACATAGCTTGAGTTTATCAGCCAAACAGGTGTATTTTATTAACCTAGTTAAAAAAGTCTGTATTTTTTACCCAGTGCTTGGTAGCTGTTGTTGGAAAGAAATTAAGTTTACGCTCATTATGGTTTAAATATTCTGATGCTGCATGAATGTGGTGGCCCTGAATTATGAGATGAATCATATTAAACACTAAAGTGACATAACTGTTGAGTAGAGGATCTTATCTTTTGATTTCTCTTGAGTTGGACATACTGTGTCAGCAACAACAGCTATGCAACATGTTGGCTCACGCTCCTTAGCACTTCTTGAGTAGAAATATGTCAGTTATTTTACAGCCGTCATTTACAATGAACATAGCTCTACATTCCTGTCAACAGAAGCCCCCAGTGGGTGGTTTCCTCAGGGTGAAACCAAACTCCACTCAGCAGTTAGGTAGTTTAAGGTTACCTAGTCTACTTCAAGTCATGAATGAATCCTGTATGTCCTCTTGTGAATTCACGCATATAGATAAAACATCTGTTTTTATGTTTAAAATGTTTGTTCGGGATTGAGTCTATTGTTGGAAAGAAATTAAGTTAAAGCTTGTTGCTGTGTTTGTTGTTCTTATGCTGAATTAATGTGTTGGCTCTGAGTCAGTAGAGGAGTGCTTTAAAATCATGTAAAGCATTATGTAACATTACTTATGAGTAAAAATAAAACCAACAGAATTCTCAGTGGAGTTTGGTGCAGCTTTGTCTACACCAGATGGCCACATATTTCAGCTTATGAGTGCAGCTTGCCAGGTCATCCTGCTGCAGAACAGAGAGCAGCAACCCCAGAGTGATCCAAAAAGAAAACACATGGAGCCACAACTATTAACGACCTAATGATCTCACCACCAGTCACATGATATAAATAACTCTGAAGTGTTGAGCATCAAAACTTAAAAGGCAAAATCAGTGGAGTGCAGAAACTTTTCATTTACAGTGGTTATAAATGCATCGTGGATGTAAGCACGATCTCTTGTGTAGATCAAATACTAACCTGTCACTATTAACGACACAGGGGCTCTGCCATCGCCAAGATAGTGGGTGCCAATGCTGCTCAAAATTCCAATTTTGACACCACTGTAAAAATGTGGGTGTTTGAAGAGACGGTGAACGGGCGCAAACTGACTGAAATCATCAACACTGACCATGAAAATGTGAAGTACCTTCCTGGGCACAAGCTGCCAGCTAACGTGGTAAGAAGTCGTTGGTTTCTAACAGTGTTCTGTGTTTAAAGCACCAGACTTAAATATATGTCACTCCTTTCAACATCATCCTCACCCTCCTCTTCTTCCTCAGCTGGCTGTTCCAGACCTGGTGGAGGCGTCCAGTGATGCAGACATTTTGGTGTTTGTGATCCCGCACCAGTTTGTTGGGAAAGTGTGTGACACCATAAAGGGGAAGATAAAGACAGACGCACTGGGGATATCGCTCATCAAGGTTGGACTTGAATATTTCACCTTTTTGTTTCTAAATATTGGTGCAACACTTCTTCATGACTCAGAGTTTAGAACAGCCGTAAGCCAGCCGTGGTCTTTGACCCAGATACCAGCCTGCTGTGGCTTAATGTAAATACACAGCTTGTGTGTTTGTGTTCCTCCAGGGCGTCGACGAGGGACCTGATGGACTCAAACTTATCTCTGACGTGATTCAGGAGAAGCTCGGTATCACCATGAGTGTGCTGATGGGGGCCAACATCGCCAATGAGGTTGCTGATGAGAAGTTCTGCGAGACCACCATTGGTTAGTTTGATTATGTTGCTTTTTATTTCTTGCTTTGACATATTTTTTGATTGCGCAGCATAGGGTTGGTGTTATTTTTGAAGAAGGTTTCTTGTTTAATCAGGACAGAGTTGCACTTTGGTCCAGTTTTAAAGTTACAGTAAGCAGGTTTTACCCTTGAAACAGGAAGCGTGTTTGTTGTGGTTTGTGTCACGCAGCCCTTTAGCATTGTCAGCATGCAAGTGACAGCTTAATCAGCTTCTAAGTTGCTGTGTAAATGACAGACGGGCTGGTTCAGTTTGATATTTGCTTTCTTCATGTATGTTGTTACGGCCTCCATACAAACACAGAAATCCTGGCTCCATAGGGGCAGGAGGCTGCAACATATAAAAGAGGACGCCACACTAAAAATAACAGCTTACCCACAAGCTTTATTTTTATAACCCAAAATATTAACCAAAACACAAACAACTAAGAGAGAAACAAAAGGGACTGGAGACCCCGGCCAAAAAGAACAGAAGGAGGGAAGACGCTGAGCCAACCACGCAGTGGGCTGTCGCTCCCAGCATCTCCCCCTAAACTACCTGAACAGGAACTAAACCTAGAATAAACAAAAAGACGAATAAAGTAACTACCGGTAATCTCCAGCCAACAACAAACTAACACAACAAAACTCCAGCTCCTAAATGAGCATGGGGGAAAAAACCTGCTTGGGGAAAGAAAACAAAGGAGGAAAAGAGGAAAAACTCCTCACCACATGTGCTGGTGTCTGTGCCGTGTGCCGAACCCTGTCTCTACTCTCCCTGTCCCTCTTATCCCCTCCTCCTCTCTCTACCTGAGTGCCAATTGCACTCAGGTGCGCAGCAGGCAGAGGGAGGAGGGAGACAAGCCTGACAGGAGAGAGAGACAGCACAGGCTGCGGCACGTAACATATGTGTACTCACATGACGACATGCTTCATGGGTTTACTGTTGGTGTGTGACAGGATTATTATTTATTGGATCAGAGCTGGCTGATACCACTTTTTGCCTTGGAGCATTACAGCTGTGCTGATGCAGTCAGTTTTTTAATCATGACTTTTAATAAAAGTCTACTAATTTAAATGGTGGTGAAAATAAGATAACCTGTTTTTATTTTTGTTTGCAGGGTGTAAGAATAAAAACCACGGGGCTCTGCTGAAGGAACTCATGCAGACCAACAACTTCCGAGTCACCGTGGTAGAAGAGTATGACGTGGTGGAAATCTGTGGAGCCTTGAAGGTGAGCTTTTATTATAAAACAGCTGCATGTTGCAGAAGTGGGGCTCATGGTTGTGTTTAAAATTGCATACTAATGTACTGCATACTGCACAGTCAGTACAACATACAGCCAACTAAATTAATGATTAAGTGTGCCATTACCAGCAGACTGTTCATGTCATCCACCCACCCCACTGGTGGGCTCAGCCTTAGAGATAGGGTAAGGAGCTCAGAGTAGAGCCGCTGCTCCTTTGTGCCAAAAGGGGTCAGTTGAGGTGGTTCGGGCATCTGATCATGATGCCTCCTGGGCGTGTGTTGGGCATGGGTAACTGGTAGGAGGCCCCGGGGCAGACCCAGAACACGCTGGAGGAATTACATATCTCATCTGGCCTGGAACACCTTGGGGTCCCCCAGGAGGATCTGGAAAGTGTTTCTGGGGAGAGGGACGACTGGGGTGCTTTGCTCGGCCTGCTGCCCCCGCGACCCGGCCCCCAGATACGTGGATGGATGGATGAATGGATTAATACTGTGGGAGAAATTTATATTGTTTTATTAATTTTTTCAAAGTGATACAAACAATACACAAAAGTTAGTTACACTCAAAAGTGTGATTACAAAATGGTGGCTGGTAGAATTTAGAATACACCAGCAACTTTGACTGGTGGAAGAAAAAGACAACTACTAAATTGCTCTCAGTCCGCCATTGGACAGTCTGAAGAGCAGCTGTGCATTTTAAGGCAGTTACGTATGTTGAGTGAGCTCACGTCTTGTAATCGGAAATTCTTGCAAAACTGCGTTGTCATCCTACGTTGTCAACTACATTGATATCCACATACTCTGCTGTTTGACGCACTACATACTCACTTTGACCTCTTACTTGGTGTGAACAGTATGTTACTATGTGATTTTGAACAGAACACAAGCCTGTTTGTCTCACACTGAGTCATCTTACTAAATTATGATTATGTAATATGGAACGTTTCGTTAAGTTTAACAATTGACTGTTTAATGAGTGATGAGAGAGTCTTTGTACGCTGAGCAGGAGCCAGACAAAGACCTAACCTACTTAGTTACATTCCACCACTGCACTCCTGTCAAATACAATACTTCTTTGTAAAGGTAAAACAACTTTATTAGATTCACAAGATTATACTGCCAGTAAGAGAATGCTGACAAATCATAGAAAGTGACGTGTTTCGAATCTAAGCAGCAACACGGACTGAATAAGTCTTCTCCTGGGATACACACCCGACTCCAAATGTTGAATAAAACATAAAGCCAGTTTACTTACAATTTCAAAAAGGCCCCGCGTTTACAGATTTACATTTAATTTAGCAGGCATATTTACGAGGGGACATTTTTCATGTCATTAGCTGGTGAGTTAAAAGCCATTAGACATTTATCCTCTCACAGGCGTCACACATTTTAATAGAAATTAACATTATAGATGTAACTTGTTTCTAATGTCTTTTTACCAAATTACAGCTGAAACACTTATAACAGTGACTGATTCACCAAATTTTAAGCAAGAAAGATGGAGCGTGATTAGATTCCATCTTCTCAGACATGATGATTTGCTGCTGTTCTGTTTTTATGCCTCTGTGCCGTCATAGCTGTGGATGGAGGAGTTATGTTTTCAGGTTTTCCATCTGTCTCTTTCTTGTGAACGCGATAACTCAGGAACACTTTGAGGGAATTTTTTTTTGCACAAACGTTCACTTGATTTAGATTTTGGTGGTTTAAGGAAAGCATGTTTTGGCTACAACTCAAGAATTCATGCACTAAGTATGACAAAATTTCACACAAATGTCTAACTGCATAAAATAATTAAGTGATGACATTTTATATCCAGTAGGCCAAAGGTCAGCTTCACTTCTCTTGCCATTATTCAGCATCATATTGAGATATATAAAAGAACAAGGTAATAAATAACTGTTATTTTTAACATTGTGTCTCTAGCTCTTTGCTAACACTTTCCCTCCTCGTCTGTCCCTCAGAACATTGTCGCGGTCGGAGCAGGTTTCTGTGATGGTCTGGGCTTTGGAGACAACACAAAAGCAGCAGTGATCAGGTTGGGCCTGATGGAGATGATTGCCTTCGCCCGCATTTTTTGCACCGCTGGTCCCGTGTCCTCTGCAACCTTCCTGGAGAGCTGTGGTGTGGCCGACCTCATTACAACCTGCTATGGTGGCCGCAACCGCAAAGTCGCTGAAGCTTTTGTGAAGACGGGGAAGGTGAGAGCTTTTATTCAATTGTCAAATGCTTTTACTGTTTTTGAGAAAAGGACATTTGTCCAACTTGTGTGGGTTTTAAGAAATGATCAGATTCAGCAGCCAGACATGATGATTGCTTTAAATAACTAAATAAAAGAGGTGGTCTGTGTTGTGTCACTGACTGGTTGATTATGTAACTCTTCAGCTGATGCTTCACAGAAGCTTTATTGCAGAGCTAAGTACACAGTTTAAGCCCAGGACCATACGACAAGAGCTTAGAGGGAAAACTAAAATAAAAACATTATTATCTTTAATAATCCACCACAAACTGTGATATCTTGTTTTATAAACCATTTTGAACTTTTACTCTGAAGACACACTCTCTTCATACTAGCACAACTCTTTCTAAATAAAAGCTCCAACCTTTATAATATAACTGAAGGGACAAATAATAGTGCAGCATTAAAGTAAAATACTTTATGAAATAAATAAACTTGGAAAAAAATTGTTTAGGTATGCTGGACCATACCAAAGGTTGTAAAATTCAAGCAGCACCCTCCGAGGCTGAAAAATTAAGCTGATGCTAAGTGCCCAAAACTGCAGTTCATCTAATGGCCACTTGAGGCTGGCACTAGAAGCGAGTCAATCCTCACAGAGCCCCATGTTAAAATGTTCAACTTTACAGCAGAAATAAACATGTTTACAGCCTGGTAGGGCTGGGGGGGGTTTATATAAGGCACTCGTTTACTTTTATTAAGGCTTAAAGTTACGCATAATTAAGGGTGTGGCTGCTTTGAGTGACAGCTTGGTGCTGTCTGTTGAAAAGTCACTACCATGGTGACAATGTGAATCTGGCATCACAAAATATCTATGTTATCAAACCAACGGAGTACAGGTGTAGCTCTTTCAGTGTGTTTTCAGTTCATGAAAGTTAATCGTAACAATTTTGTTGCCCAAGAAAAGTCTTGTTTAGCATTTTATTGTACCAACGACCCTTAAAGGAGTCGACTGTTCAGTTTTTCCAATAAATACACTTTGTTTAAATGGTTTTAAGCCTGTTTTTTGCTTGCGAAAATTAGCATTTGCACTATCACACTTAAAATAGACTGTAATTGCACTGTGCTAACCAAGCTAGCAGCTAGCATTAGTGTTGGCTCCGATCTTTTGGTCAAAATATGGTCATCTCTGGCTCCAAAAATCCAAGATAGTGACTGTTAATAAATGCCAAACTGGAGGCTTCAAAACAGGAGTTCTCAAACCAATAGGTGGTGTCACAGTGGCCACGTCCATTGTTTTATACAGTCTGTAGTAAAATTGAAGTCATAAAATAAAAAGTAAAATTGGAACATGTTTGTTCCCATGTAACAAGAGTTCACACTTCTGCCTGTCATGTTTCTTCTCAGTCCATTGAGGAGCTGGAGAAAGAGATGCTGAACGGTCAGAAGCTGCAGGGACCAGCCACAGCAGCCGAGGTCTATCTCATCCTCAAACACAAAGACCTAGTGGACAAGTAAGTTGAGCAGCAACATTAAAACACAGAATCTCACAGATGGTCAGAAATACATCAGTCCAGCTTTATTTTTTGCACTCAACAACGCCTCCTCCTTCCTCCCAGGTTCCCGCTGTTCAACGCAGTGTATCAGATCTGCTATCAGGGCCATCCAGTCACAGAGTTCATAAGCTGTTTGCAGAACCACCCAGAGCACATGTAAACAACAACAAACTGACCAAGTGCCTTCTGAACGGAGAACATTACCATTCCTCACCTGTTACCCGTCACAAATAGTCGGGGGGATGACCAGTCACTCCACAGCTGTCGTGCAACCAAACGACTCCAGCCAGCGAGTGCAGTCCACGTTCACTCTTTCGGAGAGGTTGCATAACATTTGTGTGTTAAGCCCTCTACTTTGTCCTTAACACTGAGTTTCTTTTAAGTGCTTTCTTTTATTTCCTGTCATACATGAAACTTGAAGGATAATTGGATTTTCAGTCTCCGTGTGACGCTCAGAGAGCTCTTTTTGCCTGAGATCTCTTTTTTTCTCTAAAATCAGTATGCATGATGTCACTTTTGTAGACAGCAACCAAGTTTAAAACACTAATATAGATGTAGAGACTTGACTTGATATCAAAATGTTCTTAAAACCGTCTCTGGCTGACTCTTGTTTTAATCAACCCTTGACTGCCATTCAGTTGATAACACCTTTGTACAGTGTTTATATGGCACCACATCATGCATTCAGATTTTGGCAGGGCCGACCACTCAGGGCAGAGACCTGTTGAAAGCCTTCTGTAGAGGGGATTATCATTATCTAATGTGAATGGTGCCGTCCAGTGAATGCCTGTCCATCACAACTTATTTAATAATAGATGTAATACCTCACCTCATTATGTCTGTGTGTGTGCTCAAAGTGTCTTACATGAACCACTATATTTCCTGTCCTGTACTGTATATTACCATACTGTCGAACGCACAGCAACTGTTTTTAACAAGAAAATGCAAGTGCCTTAGAATGCACGGTTGCTAAATCTTGGCCATTGTTTTTTTTTTCTTTTTTTTTTTCTTTCTGTCCAACCAAAGACTTCTTAATGTCCGTCAACAATGCCATTTGTTATAATGTGAACCTGCCTGACCCCATGTCCACCAAGTATGTTGGAAATTATGTCAACACGTATCTGTGAATAAACTAATTCTGTTGTCAAATCATCACTGGAATCATTCTTGACTCCATTGCATTAGAAAGGTAGTTATCTCTATTGTAACCACACAGCAGCTCCTCCTCTCCGTTCTCCAAAGCCTGTCTGCTCTGAGCACATCCAATGTCACTTTAGCATGACCACTCCCATGCTGCGCTCACACTTCATATTGTGCTGTTTTTTAAATGACGCATGCTACTCTTCCAACACCCCATTTCTATCCAAACATTTTTATGACATACTACACCATGATGTGTTTCTATACTATGACTTTTTTTTGTGATTTTTGACAACATACTATACTATGACTTTTTTCATGATTTTTAACGACATACGATACTTTGACATTCTTTTCATAGTTTCTGACGACATACTATAGTAAGTTTTTAATGATTTCTGATGACTTACTATACTATGACTTTTTTATTGATTTTTGTTGTGACATACTATACTATGACTTTTTTTCATGATTTTTGATGACACACTATACTATGACTTTTTTTTCATGGTTTTTGATGACATATTAAACTATTACTTTTTTTCATGATTTTTAACAACATACCAAACTGACTTTTTTCATGATTTTTAACAACATACTATACTATGACTTTTTTTCATGATTTTTGATGACATACAGTACAGGCCAAAAGTTTGGACACACCTTCTCATTCAATGCGTTTTCTTTATTTTCATGACTATTTACATTGTAGATTCTCACTGAAGGCATCAAAACTATGAATGAACACGTGGAGTTATGTACTTAACAAAAAAAGGTGAAATAACTGAAAACATGTTTTATATTCTAGTTTCTTCAAAATAGCCACCCTTTGCTCTGATTACTGCTTTGCACACTCTTGGCATTCTCTCCATGAGCTTCAAGAGGTAGTCACCTGAAATGGTTT